CGATAATTTTTAATCGATATATATCGATTAACTGCTATATATCGATATATATCTGCTTAAAAATTTTGCTGATGAAGACCCGTCTTCTTTTGATAAACAAATCTATTCTTTGACAGATATATTCTTATTATAATCCTCTTTTTTATTTTCTAAAAATATTATGTTCTTCATCTTCTTATTTACAATGTTATATATATCAATATATGATATATATAAATCATGCCTTTGTGTTAAAAGTAAAAATTCTAATTCTTCAGTATTGTAAATCTAGTTAATGCATTGGTAGAATATAGACACAATTTGGGAAGGCTTCATTCTATCCTTTGCCCTTTCACAGATCTATTCTTTCACTTGTTGAGATATATTAAAATACTATAGATCTTCAAGACTATCTGGATTATGTCCATTATGTAGCAGATAATAAATAATATGAACACTATCTTCTTTTTCATCATGGTGTTTCAGCATGCATATGTAAGATTTGCAGTCTACTTTTTTGATAGTTTCTGAATTGGACATGGATAGCTGCGATTTGATGAGAGTTTAGTTGCTCGCTTCATTGTGCCAGCTGTTAAGTTTGGTTTTCTATAGCAATGGCATAGATATCTTTCGTTTATTCTATATTCAGAAGTAACATAGTTGTCTCTATAAATATAATTGGCACCTGCAAGGTTTAGAAGAACTTTTTTAATCTAACTTTTGTATGTCTCTAAACTAAGATAGGTATAAACTTTAATAAATTCGTTCATATCTCTCCTTTGCAATTCAGAATCGGTTTCAAGTTCATCTCCAGGTTCATCTTCGAGTTCTTCTAGCAATTCTGGCTTAGATTCTTCTTGCAATCTAAGTTCCTCTTGTGTCTCATGACCAAATTCTTGAAAATCAAATGCAAATTCAGGTTCTTGCAACTCAGGTTCAAGCTGTTTCTGCAGCTCAACCCTGAGATAATTGCTGTATAAAGGCATATTAGAGGATAACCTATTGGCATGCTCAACAATATTGTTGATTAAATCAGTTAAAATAAAATCTGTGATTATATTTTGGTCACTTGCGTTTATATCTTGTGATTTTGGATTTGCAGACTTGGAAGACTTGAACGAGGTAGACAAATTTTTATTTGAATTAGATATTTTTTTATTTTATAGCAATTAAATAATTAAATAAAAACTTTATTTACGAAAAAAATATAGCAATTTTTGTTGATAAAAAAGATGATGAAAGAGATATGTTCAAGACAATTTTATATGAAAGATATTTTATAAATTTTA